CTAACGCGTTGGTGGACTACGGAGCTGAGTTCGCTTCGGTACAGTTATTCTCGTGTACAACCATAATCGACATGTTACCTCATCGCGGCTTCAGATCATTGAAACACACACCCAACGCCATGTGCCTCATCAAGTCTCATCATATGTCCTCTCACTCACTCACTCACTCAGTCACTCACTCACTCACTCACTCACTCACACCTACCAGCTCCCTCAGGAGAGCCTCATCGTAGGAGATCCACTCTCCACCGCCTCCCCCTGCCTCCCCCTGCCCCTCCCCCTCGTCCTCCGCACGCCCCGGCAGGGCCCTCAGCACACTGCGCCACAGCCGACCCGAGTCGAATGGCCGTACAGCCGCTGCCAGGGGGAAGAGACGGAGGCCCACTCGGTATCCCTGGAGCGCCTCCACTCGGCTGCTTAACTGGGCCCTGCGGACGGGTGGGGAGGACCGCATGCAAGAAGCACAATAACGCGGAGGAATCATGTGTGAGAAACCCAGAAATGAACTGCCGGTGTCCAAACAACGGGAAGGGGGGGTCAACTGCCGACTGTGTCAAAGGCATCAACTGTCATCAGGAGTTCGTGGTGCAAATGCCCGAGGTAGCTCCGAAACCTAGCACCAAGAAGTGACCGACATAGATGGGCAGCGGGGAGAGGGGATACAGGAAGGTGTGCATACCTTGCGAAATACAATGTATGTATGTATGTATGTATGTATGTATGTATGTATGTATGTATGTATGTATGACTTAGATTACACTGTGGGCCGCGAGAGCCGGGGGCCGAAGCCGAAACACAGCGCAAGGGTCGGGAGCACACAGCACAAGTCGGTTAGTCTCCCGACCCCGGCTCAGACTGCCAACACTCTACGCAGCCACTCCGCAGCCCCTCCATGTATGTATGTATGTATGTATGTATGTATGTATGTATGTATGTATGTATGTATGTATGTATGTATGTCATGATCCGCACGTAGTACACGTTGCGTTGCGTTGTAGCCACGTGACCGTTACGTTCATATGCCTCTAATAAGGTCAGGCCGTCAGGGCGACAAACAATGTGAGTGAACGTACATGGCCGTGTGCGGTTCCTAGCAGGAGCTAGCCAGCGCCCCCTCGGGAAGGCCCCGCCCCCCACAACACCCCACCTCATCCCATCCTACCCCGGGATCTCAGGGCCAGGCCTCTTGCCTACATCGCTCCCTCTCCTCCCCTCCCCGCGGCCCCCCTCCCCCCCCCCGGTGTGGTCTCACAGCGCGGCCTTGTACCCTGGTCCAGTAGTCGTGGGCCCACATGGCTCCGGGTCGTTGGTGAGCACCACCAGGGTGTTGATTGAGCTGCGGGCACATGAAGGGGAGGGGGAGGAGGCGGAGAAGGAGGGGGAGAAGGAGGCGGAAGGGGTGGGATGGGATGGGATGGGGCGGGGGGTTTAAGGGAAACCGTAGAGTGAACAGCGGGGAGGGGTGGAAGGGAGGGAGGGAGGGACCTGGGGCTGGGCAGGGCAGCTCCAGGGAACCTGAGAGGTCTCCTCCTTCGCAGAACCCTTCCCCTCCACTTCCCCCCTCAAAAATCGCATGGCTTACAGCTCCACGCCCCCAGGCCCCGGGTCGCACCCACTTGTCCGCTGTCCTGCTCGCCGCCAGGCAGTTCTGCACTCGGAACAGCGCCTCCGCCAGAGCTGAGTCCCGCCGCTGCGGGAGACCGCCGATGGTGGCGCGGAAGGACTCCACTACGGCGTTCGGCAGGGGGTGTGTGTGAGGGAAGAAGAAGAAGAAGAGAAGGCGCAGGAGGAGGAGCAGGAGGCGGCAATATGGGGGGGAGGTCAAAGGTGATTGATTAATCAAGGCCGGAAGACCGGAATCGCTGATGGAGGTCGGGAGGGGGGAAAGAGTGAGAGCCGGGAGGAGGGACATACGACGGAGCACAGGCGACTGGCGAGGGGGGGGATGGAAAATAGGCGGCCAGAGGGATGTCTGCCGGGTTATCCAGCGACGCAGAGGGAACTGCAGCGAGCTGAGGGAGGGAGATGACCGTAGTAATGAAACGTCCGTTTACACAGATACACATACACACATGCTCTTCGCCCCTTGCTGTCCTTTTGACGTCTTCCCATGCCGTGTCCTTCCTCGGCCATCCAGGTGACGTGCCAGGCGGGCATCCATACTAGGCAGAGCCGCAAGATGACACCTCCAACACGACCATGACGACGACGACGATGACACCAGCCAACCGGCCGGTACGGTACACATGGCCACAACATGAGCAACAACACGCTACATAACCCAGATATTTTGCACGGGTACGGCACGTACCTGTGAGATCTCGTACGGCACGTACGGCTTCCGCTGAGGGTTGCTGCAACTCCAACAGTGTGCGCACCCCCTCGAATGCGGCGACAAAGGTACCAGCACCACCGCTACCAGCATCCCTGGATCGGTCTGTTTCGCGCTGCATCGCGTTGCAACCGGGGTCCAGGTGCAGTTGCGGGTTAGGGACAGAAGACCCGTGGGTGAGGTGTGGCTGGGCACTGGGAAAGAAAGGATGGGTGAATGAATGGATGGATGGATGGATGTGCCCGCGTTTGTCCTCACCCTCGCGCGACTTCTCGCCTTGCTTTGCGCTTTGGGATTGGTCCCTTACACTTCCCTTCCCTAATAATACATCTAAGAGTATCAGCAGCAACAGGAAACGATTCCCGTTGGAGAACGGCAGGGCAAGTGCTTTCCTACCGTACCGTGTTGTACAATACGACAGCGACTTGNTCATCCGGGCTTTGTATGGCCTTGAGCTTGATGAGTTCCACGACGGTCAATTTGGCGGCCTCGAACGAGGTGGTTTTATTACCGCCAAGCTGCGGCACAAGCGTGGCGTGGTTAAGTCAACAAGCCACAGCATGCCGACGGAGGCGGGTTCCAAAAAGGATATCTACAGATGAAGTTATTAAATTGGTAGTGGGGTGCAGCAGGATGGGTAGTCCCAAGTCTGGGCAATAGCTCTGGGCTCGAGGAAACCCGGCGACAGACACATTCTGTCCTGCCCGCTGACAAGTTACCCGGACAACAAATCCATACCTCAATCTCTTCAAACATATTGTCTTGTGCATCAATCATAAATATCAGTTTCTCCTTGAGCGACTCGGGGCGCTGCAGTCGCGAAAGCAGTCCTCGGAAAAGTTTTTCGGAGCACGTCTAACTGCAACAAACTTCCAACCTGCTTCTGATCTTCCTCTTCCTCCTCATTCTCCTCGTCATCCCAAGCGTTCTCGCTGCCTCGGTAGGATCCTTCCGCCATTATTGCAATTGCAAATTAAATCGTTTACAGCTGTTTCGGCGATGGTATAATTAAGTTATGAGTTATTATTGGACTTCAAAGACGCGCATACATTGATGTTATGTGAAGAACTCGCTGCGCATGCTGTGCATGCCATGCTTGACCTGGGCACGTGAGCAGGTCCTTAACACACTGACCGTGTTCCAATTTTCGTTGCAATCCTCCTTGCCTGATTTGAAGTGCTATCCTTTTTGTGTAATGGCGCTCATATACGCGCAGGAGACATGTCGCCGAACATGTCCGAAGTTATCGCCGGAAAATGGCTGGCTAAACAGACACAATCGAAGAAATCCTTAAAATCCTGTTTTATTTTTCTAATATTCTGCTTTATTATATGCATGGCTCAGCTGACCTCTGGCTGGAAAGGGTTCAGATACCTCTGCCCCTGAGTTTTTTTACCTGCATTTGGGGAAGCGCTTGAAGGTCTGGGTACATTACCATTATCTTTCCGATAAAAGCCATGGAGGATCACAAGAACGACAGCTTACTACTGATGTTGATGCTGATGTTCCTTTTTTAAAGGAAACATGTTTCTCAGTGAGCTATGAACCGATGCCCACCTCGCGCCTTTGCGCGCGGTGGGGAGGCCAAATATGAGTATATTCCACTAAGGTGGGACGCACTTCCGCTACCCACTGACAAATATACTACCAAAGATTTTCAAAATTACACAATGATTATGCCCGCGTGCGATGAGTACCAATTTCAAATGCCCAACTGCCCACCTGCAAATGTACTACCAACGATTTGTAAAAGACATGAATACATCACCTGAAAGTCAGCAATGACAGCCATAGTATTACAATTTGAAATCCCAAATACCCTTTTGAGTCATTCGTTACTGACCTGTAGTCTTACCATATAGCTGTTACATAAAGCTTGCGCATTCCTAAGCAGTCAATGCGGTCCCCAATTACACGCGCACCGAATGTTATCACACCGGCCCGCAACCCTGTGACCACGGGGACGA